AGAGATTGCTACAAAAAGTTGGGGACAAATTGGAGTGATGAGAACATAGAAGCATACAGGGAGGCTAAAAGACAAGCAAAGAAAGCCGTAAGGGAAGCACGAGGGAAAGTGAACAAGGAGTTGTATGAAAAGTTGGACTCTAAGGAAGGAGAACTAGATATTTATAGACTTGCTCGTCTTCGTGATCGCAGAACTCAAGATATTGCAAAAGTTAAGTGTGTGAAGGATGTTGATCAGAGGATATTAATGGACGACGGAGAGATAAAAGAGAGGTGGAGGTCATTCTTTGATACACTATTCAACGGGAACAAAACGCAAGATATCGGTGATTTGTCCATACCAGATTGTATGGTAAACCGTGATTTTGTGAGAAGGATCCAAACAACGGAAGTTAAAGAAGCTCTGAGGAAGATGGGACGGAAAAGAGCAATTGGGCCAGATGGCATACCGATCGAGGCTTGGAGAAGTTTGGGAGAGAGAGGCGTCGAGTGGTTAACAAGTTTCTTCAACATGATTTGGAGAAACAACAAGATGCCAACGAGTTGGAGGAAGAGTACTCTTATCCCTTTATTTAGGAATAAAGGTGATGTACAAGAATGTGCCAACTATCGAGGGATTAAGCTTATGAGTCACACCATGAAACTTTGGGAGCGAGTGATTGAGCAAAGACTTCGAAGGACTGTGAAGATTTCAGAGAATCAATTCGGTTTTATGCCTGGTCGCTCAACAACTGAGGCTATTTACCTTATTCGTCAACTTATGGAGAAGTATAGAGATGCTCATAAGGATCTGCATTTGGTGTTCATTGAGTTAGAAAAGGCATATGATAGGGTACCTCGAGAAGTTCTTTGGTGGGCCTTAACTAGGAAAGGCATATCACGCAAGTATATCAGCATCATCATGGATATGTATGAGGATTGTACTACAAGTGTTCGTACTAGTGTAGGGAGGACTGAAGAGTTCCCTATTACTATCGGAGTGCACCAAGGATCGGCCTTGAGTCCTTTCTTATTTGCCATAGTCATGGATGAACTTACGAAGTCAATTCAAGACGATATACCGCGGTGCATGATGTTTGCAGACGATATTGTATTGATTGATGAGACGCAATCAGGTCTTAAAGCAAAGTTGGAAGTATGGCGACAAACATTTGAGAATAAGGGTTTCAAACTAAGTCGGAGCAAGACAGAGTACATGGAGTGCAAGTTTGGTGGAGGTAGAAGTAGTGGTAATAGCGGAATTACTCTGGATAGTAAGGAGATACCAGTCAGCGATATGTTCCGTTACTTGGGCTCCATAATTCAGAATGACGGTGAGTTAGATGGAGATGTATCCCATAGAATCAGAACAGGGTGGATGAAGTGGAAGAGTGCGTCAGGATTTCTATGCGACCGAGGTATGCCGACTAGACTGAAGGGTAAATTTTATAGGACAGCAATTAGGCCTGCATTACTGTATGGCGTAGAGTGTTGGGCGGTGAAACAATGTCACATTCAAAAGATGAGTGTGGCAGAGATGCGCATGCTGCGTTGGATGTGTGGGCATACTAGGAAGGACCGCGTGAGGAATGAGACAATCAGACAAAGGGTGGGAGTAGCACCTATTGAAGACAAGATGCGGGAGTCGCGCCTACGGTGGTTTGGTTATGTGCGTAGAAGACCGAGTGATGCACCTGTTAGGCGAGTTGAGATGTGTGGAGAAGAGGCAGGGAAGAGAGGGAGAGGAAGACCCAAACAGACGTGGGTTAGGGGAGTTCGAAGTGATATGCTTCTTCTGGGGTTGGATGAGGGCATGACTTTGGAGAGAACTAAGTGGAGGGCGGGTATTCACGTGAAGGAGTGATCTTGATAATCTTTTTCCCTCATCTTTTTTTTCCTAGGTTTTTTTATCCTTATATATATATGCATTATTTGCAGCCTTTTTATTTTATCATTTTTATATATAATCATCTTTTTTATATTATCTTTTCATAATAGCTTATCTTTTTATCTTTATTCCTTCTTTTCCTTTTGGTTGTGATATCATGTATCGATTCATGTTAGCCGACCCCAATATCTTTTGGGACTAAGGCTTGGATGTTGTTGTTGTTGTTGTTGATTGTGATAATAAAATTGTCAGTCAATTAGTTTTGAGGACAAGTCTTTCTCATAATAAATTTTCCTAAACAACACTAACAACATCAAGAACAAAAACTTTTGCATACGGTTCATACCTACACCTACTGGAGTTCAATTCTTTCAAAATTTTAGCAATAGACGGACATGTTAGCGACCATTTCAAGAAGAGGCAAATTTACATTCACTTTGGACAACAACATATGAATTTCATGTAAAGATTTATTAAAGTTAGAGTTTTTTGACCTGTTTGGAAAAGGAGCGGATGGAACATATGGTTTAGGTGACACATAAGGATCCCCCACTTGTGCATCCCGATCCACTCATGCACGGAATCAACCTCAACTTCTTTCTTTTTCAACTTTTATCTTCTCCGGTGGAGAGGGATTAGGGATAAGCTGACCTTCATTTTTCACAATTACCTTAGCACTCCTAAGAATTGTAATAGCCTTTGCATCTTCAGTCTACTTCCCTGACGCATGGTCATGTAAACACCCAACAATGCCTCCCAGTTGTATCTCTAACTTCCTCAAAGAAGCTTCATTTTGCTGGAAACACTGCTCATTGACTTGCTGATTTTTGGTGCATATTTACATAAAATTTTGCAAAAAAATCTCTAAAGAAGGCTTCTTTTGCTCATGAGGTGGTGGTTGGTTGTGTGTTAGCCCAAGAGAAATTAGGATGATTCCTCCGACCAAGATTGTAAGAGTTGGAGAATGGATCGTTCCTCGACCCTTGATTATGAGGTTCATCATGTGGGATTGCTCATAACCGCCATCGGGTACTGCATTCAAAACAGAGGTAGATTGACTCATTGTCATCACAGAGCACATATTCTTCATACATTGGATATCTCAGACATTTTTATGTTTAATTATGTCCCAACTCCCACTTCATAAATTTTAGGAGTCTTCCCTCGCACTCTTTTGTTGCAAATTGGTTCCAAGCATCTCATAAAGCTCTATGTCTATTCAGCCCTCTTCCGCCTCTCTCATTGCCCCTCTGACTGCGTTATCAACGATAACTTGGCTACTTTGTATCAAACCATCACATGATGTCTGATTCTGAGCCATGGTGTGGGGAAAAAATTGAGTTAGCAACATCTTGAATCTTTTCCATGCTCCTTGATTATGAATTTTTGGACGTTCAATAACATTTGCCAATGAATTTGTTGTAGACTTTAGTCCATGTGGGCAACGAACCAGGTGTGAAGGACATGAACCATGTATTCGCAGCATCTTTGAGAGTAAACCGGAAAACACCTCATCCTCAACTCAACTTCAATCACTTTTTGGAGAGGAAGATTCTGGATTATGTCATTGAAGTCACAAATAAAGATCTAGGCATCTTCAGATGTGAGGCCATGTAAAGATGACAATTGATTGTAGTGCACCGTCTAGGAATCATAGTTTCGAGCAGCCTCACTCAGTACAATGTAGGACGGGGAGACACCTACAGTTGGTCTTTCGAACTCCTACATTAGTGGAGCATCACCCACTCTTGGATCGGGAACCAATTCGAGTCTCATTTTTATCCTCTTCCCGATATAATCTACTTGATCGTTCACCGGTCAATGAAAAAACAAAAATGAAAAAAAGAAGAAAAACAAACTAAAAAAATTAACAAATTTTCCAAAAACTAGTTAAACAAATTCCCTCGTAGAGACAATTTATAAAACCTCACAAGTGCATAAGTCATGATAGTATAGTGCTCAAGTAAGGATCGAATTGACGAGGAAATGTAAGCAAGTAATTGGAAAATAGTTTAATATAAATGAAATTAATTTAATCAAGGAGAGTTTTGAGAATGTTTTGATTTTAAATTAAAAAAGTAAAATTTAATGCAATAATTTAATGGGGAAAATAATTAAAATACCCCAAACTTTGAATGGGTCTGAGATAAACACCCCGAACTTTCATATGTAATTTAAATATCCCAAACTTTATATAAAAAGTTATTTTAACACTATGGTTATGTATGATTTCTTTCAAAAATGTAAATTTATGGTGTTAAATGCATAATTTAAAATAGCAAATTGAAAACATTAGAATTATATATAGTGGTGGGTAACACTATTTATTTTACAATGGAAGCTTAGAATGTTAATTGTATCTTTATGAATGCTAAAATTTATCAAACTATGATATAAATACCAAAAATTAATATTTTTGAAAGAAATAATACATGACCATGGTGCTAAAATAACTTTTTATATAAAGTTTGGGGTATTTAAATTACATATGCAAGTTTAGGGTGTTTATCTCACACCCCTTCAAAGTTTGGGGTATTTTAATTATTTTCCCCTAATTTAATGGAATAAAAATAAAGTGATTCAACAACTAGCAATTTAGCAAGATAAAATATAGTCCATGATTATGATGTGGTCACTAGCTTTTCGTAATCGTCATTTAGTTAGTCAATTAAATTTGAGGGTTCGTTCTAGGCAAAATATGACTGCTCAGTGTGGCATCTAGAATAAGTCACGTACTATAACTATTAAGCACTAAGGAATTATTAATTAAATAATTAAAATCCAATAATCAAAGATGAATTACGGAAATCCGATTTTAGAACCAAATAGATAGCCTAACAAGAGAAATGAGTTATCTATTTTTGTCCAAAAGAGCTCAAACTACTATGCATGACATATATCCTATTAGTCCACTCATACAGTTTAGAATGTTTTTACTTGGACTTATTTCAATCCTAGATGAGACTATAAAAGACCAGATCAGAACAAATGAGACCAAACTTAAATACACCATTCTAGACCAGACTTAAAAAGATAAGACTATATCAGACAAGAAAATTTCAGTCCAATTAGAAACATACTTAATGTTAAAATTGTTCAAAAGTTAACATAACAAATTAGGGGAATAAGAACAATGGATAAAATCAATAAATTGATATAACTAAAATTCATACTAAATCATAGCTACATCATCATACTCTTGGACTTGAAAATTTTAGCTACACTTTAGTGCAATTTGAGATAAAACATGGAGCAGCATGAAATTTATCGTCACCATATTAATCGACAAAAGTGAACGCAGTGAGAGTACAACTCTTAGATGCAAAGCTAAAATCTGAATTGAATAATTGTCAATAAAAAAACTGATTAACTTGAGTTCGTTAACAATAAATAAAACAAGTTGAGGTGAAACAAACTCTTCGATGGCTGAAGAATCTTCCGGCGCAGGCTTCACCCAATCCCAGAAAGTCAAAGCTCTCAAGAAATTGCTGCTCCTCTCTATACCAGAAAGGTCTCTGAACCCCGTCCGGCTTGTGGACTCCGCAATTCTTCCGGCTGTGTTGTTTTTTTTTTCAATCCGCAATTCTTCCGGAGTATATGAAAGGATAGAGGGATACGTTAGTGTGCCTAATTCCTCGCACTTTTGGTTTCTTTTCTATTGGGTTGCTGGTACGGCACTACCTCCCAAGCCCAATGGCCCAACAGTAGGAGTAATTCACTTTTTTCTTAAATAAAAAAGAAAGGGAATTTATTACTTGGTCCAAAAAAAAAGGTGGAATCTCCCACCCCAGGAGCCCCCATACCCCGACCCGACAAGATTTTTGGGAGGATTTTAATCACGGTGACTCAGTTAGCCCAATGATGGTAGGCCTTTTTTCCGTGCGCACCAGAGGCCCAGCCTTATTTCAGGTTCTGTGACCTCCACACGGCCGTTGCGGGTTTCGAACCTTGGTCACTTGGTCCAAATTTCCCACCACTGAACCAACTGAGCTACCCGTGCGGGTGGGAATTTATTACAAATAGACTAAAAAGTGAAAGTAATATTACTTTTATCACCTTTCAAAATTGTTTTCAAAAATAGATTAGTAAAACTTTTTCTTTCAAAAATAGATTACGTGCATATAACCAACCTACTAGAACCTACCTGGAAGTGAATAATCTATTTCAACGAAGCGTGCAATTCGGAAGTGACCAGGGGCGGACCGTAGTAGAGACCCAGGGGGGCTACCGCCCCCCCAACAAAAAATTTTTTTAGTGTATATATATACGAAAAATGATTTTTGATCTTCCAAAAAGTATTTTGAACCCCCCCAAAAAATATTTTCGCCCCCCCAAAATGACTTTCCTGGGTCCGCCCCTGGAAGTGACGAATCTATACACCCACTTTGTAATCAAAGAACATATACCCCTTAATTTGTATAAAAAACACGTACTCCGTATAAAACAATAAAAATAATCAAAGAACGTATATACCCTAAAAGTGAAATTATATAATTAAAAAAAATAAAACTTATTAAAAAATGAAAAAAAAACTCTAAAATATTTAGAATCTTAAAAAAAACTTATAAAAATGGTTTTGAAAATATTAAAAGTTATGGTACAAAATTTTTAAAATAAAAACATTTTCTTGAAAATATTAAAGTAAAAGATTTTTATTCAATCACCTAAAATGATAAATTTGGATTTGTGAATATAAACCAACCACGGGAAACATAAAGAAACAATAAAAAAATAGAGCTATAAACAAAAGGAAACAAAAAGAAACAATGGGATACAAAAAGAAAACAACAAATGTATATGATAAGAATTGTTAAATTTTTAACTATTTCAAAAAATGAATTGCGAAATTCATATTTTTAAAATATTTCAATTGTTTCAATGTTTAATTTTATTTTGAAATTATTTTAGTGTGCACATATTTATTTTCAATTTTTTATATTTTTGATGCTTTTAGTTTGATTACATTTTCTTCTTTTTAATTTTTTTGAAAAGAATTTTCTATATTTTTTTATTTTATAGCATTTAATTCGATTTTTTAAACATTTTTCAAATTTATATATTTATTTATCAAATTTAAAAATTTAACATGTAGTACTTTTTAATATATTTTAGTTTCTAAAATAAAAACTGTTCCATAAAAAGTTCCCATTTTTGGCGCTAAAATTTAATTATATGTCTTTTTTATCCTAAAAGTTGGTGGGCTAACTTTGGTGCTCAAACACCAATGCTACAAATGCTTGCTTTTAGAGTTCTTAGTCATCCTACATCGTCATCTTCCTGTGAACGTAGTTGGAGTATTTAATCTTTTATCCATTCACTTAGGAGGAATAAGTTAACTCCTAAGAACATCTCCATTCATACTCTTCAATTTTACGGTTTTTTATGGATTGTTATTGTCATGTCACTTCCACATAAGAAAATATCAAATAATCTCCAAACCAATTAATTTCTCCTCAATCATGATCTTAATTTTTTAAATTGGGTTTGAAAGTTGAATATTAATGTACAATGGGTAGCACATGCAGATTTTAATGACAACGTGTGAATTTAAATGGCAAGCAATGCATGGGTTTTTAACATCTGGTACCTTAATTATGAGTATGCCTAGAAATTTGGAAGAGGAGTCTAGAACTTGGAAATAATCTTCATATAATTCAGATTTAGAATTTGATACCAGATTTTTTGGTCAAATAATCTCTTCAAATAATCTCAACATCTCAACCATAATCTCAAGAAATATCATCCACATCATCAAAATAATCCCTAAATAATCATATGGATGAGGATGCCTTAAGCGTGCTGATCGAAGATTTTGTGTTTGTGCCCAACAAGATTTGCATCTTGTCAAGGAGTTTTGAGCAATACGCAGATGAGGGGACTAAGATGTGGGATGTTGGAGGAGACGAGTTCGGCAATTTGGAAGAAATGAGCTATTTGGAGTTTGCTAATTTATCCTAATTTATCCTTAGATGAGCCGGAATTTGAGAGAGTGTTTATGTCACGCCCCGGACCTAGCCGGACACGTCAAAAACCCGCCGTACAGTACGAATAGTCAACCGCAGTCCAACTCATTCATACTATACAAGGCGTCATGAATATCATTCACACATAGTACATCCATAAACAAACATAATGTAAAACATTCATTTAAAACAGCGGAAGCATTTAATAAAAATGTCTTAGCCACACTTTGGCAAACATGAGCATACAAGCCCCTAAATAATTATTCAAAAATAATATCCATGAGCATTGTCATAATTGTTTTGAAAACAGGAAACAGAAGAAGCACGAACCACGTCTTCTCCTCTGAATATCCCGAGCAACGGGCACCGGTAGCAACCTTCAAGTCCTACCTGAAACTGTGAGGTGGCCTCCCCCGTGAAGGGGAAGTCAGTACTTGGAAGCATTTGACAAGTACAATGGCAACTATACTAAGTATAATCAACGTTTTAATTTCCAAGACCCTCAAAATAGGGTGATATCATAATATAAATCATAATTTATATTTCCCACTTATTATCCTTATAATAAGTAAATTCATTTATTTGTCGGCACACGGCCCTTCTTACATATTCCTTTTTATTTATCATTTGCACAACCCAACCCTTGGGTCTTATTATTTCTACGGGACTTGCTACCGCTGTCCGAGACCTCATGAGGCTCCCGGTTCGGACTCCAACATCCCGCCCCTGGACTCATACCCATCATCCCGTAGGAAGGTAAGGCCCTTCGGGGTCCTATCTTATGTGTTACCGCTACCGGAACCTAGTTAGGTCTCCGATTCGGATTCCACCCTAACCCGTGATCACGATGTAAGTCCATGCTATCCAACCCCGCTCTCTAGAGTCGGGAAGGGCCATGGTCCTTACTTATTTCCATAATTCAACCGGCTATCCACAAGGACTACCGAACACACCCGTAGGCCAATCCTATACTTAGGATCAATTTATTACTTACTTTATCTTGGGTATCCCTTAAGGCCTACCCCTAGTATAACCTAGAGTTCATACTTTCCTACCTTAAAGCATCTCTTAAGACTACTTAAGGCATAACATTTCACAATCCAACCTTAGGACCAATCTTAACAACATTTCATTTTAATGTCCAACTAGTATCTTAATACTAGTCAAATTAATATCAACGAACCAAGTTCTCAACTCATAGTCATATAGACAATTCTAACTGATTTTCCTTTGAAAATATCATTTATCTCAATATTCAAAATATCACTTTTAATCACTCATATGTTCTAATATGAAGAAAAAAGTATATTTCAACATATGTTTCATAATAAATTCCACTTTCAAGTCAACATACTCATAACACATGAACATACACAATTTACTCTTAAATTTGTATATCATGCTACTTTTTCTTTAGACATTTAGTCTTTTCATTTTTAGGCATTATTAATCATTAATAATCCATAAAAACACATTTAATTACCTTTGGTAATCTCATGAAATTAACTCACTAATTATAAGCAATATAGTCAGTCATCCTCACCTTATGATGTGCTGAAATAGTTGCCTTTGTTGAGCTCCCCGATTAATCCTCGTTTTAAACCGATAAAAAGGCAAAACTGGGCTATCTGGGCAAAAGCCGGGCGGCTTTCACGAAAGTCGGGCGGCTTCCGTAGTCTGCAACTACGAACAGCTCCCTATATGTGGCGGTTCCCGGCGATTTCGACTCCTCAATTCCTAGCTTTTCTTCTTGGATCCTTCTCTCCTATTGGTTTCTTCAGCTTCAGAACTTTGAGAGCCTTTTCCCTGGACCTTATCTCCCTTGTGTTGGCCGAAATGATTGAAGAGAGGGTAGGGGAGAGGTCCTTCTCAACCAACACAATGATATTGTGAGGGATAGGACATGAGGGGTGTGGGTTTTTGTCTCTCGGAGACTTCCCACCTATTAGGTACACCCCCCAGCTGCCTTCCTTGTCACTTGCAGCACATAGGGTCGTGGGGTGGCCCCCACTTATGTGGGAGGTCATCCCATTATATCCCGGTGTGTATAATTGGCCCCGAAAGTTGTATTTTTCGGACTACTTTAGTCATATTTTATTTTATCGGACCGGATAAAATATATCACGCGTTCCCAACAATTTTGGGCCTTTAGAAACGATGTACATTCCCCCAACATTAATTTAGGAGCCTCCGAAACTCATGTCGGGCTGTTATCCGCTAAATTACCAATACCGATAATTGGGCCCCGTTTGGCCAGCCGGTCAACTCCGTGCCTTTCTTATGGCCCAAATAAAATATCCACCTCTATATAGATGTCATCTAGACCAAGATGAATATAATATGCGATTCGGGAATTATCGAGCGGTCCCCGTCCCCGCTGTGGGCCCCACATGCAATCACGCAAATTCTTAAATCATCCTTCCAGGTTTATTACATAATTTACTAAAAGTAAATATGCTCGGGGTCGGTGTTACAAGTTCACCCCCCTCAACGGGAATTTCGTCCCTGAAATTCACAATGCTCATTCAAACAAAAACGCGTATTGCTCTTTCATCAAAGCTTCCGTTTCCCAAGTTTCCTCCTCAACTCGGTCACTTTTCCAAAGGATTTTAACCATTGGGACTTTCTTGCTTCTCAATTTCTTGACTTGTCTGTCAAGTATCTTCACCGGTTGCACGGCATAATTTAAGTCTT